GACCAACTTTCCAGCACCAATCTGGCCATTTTGTCATCGGCCCTGCCGATCATCCTTGCATTCTCAAAGGCGAACTTGTGCTTCGGCTGCCGCATGTGACCATAGACGTGCGGCAGCTGAAGCACACGTCCTCAGTTAACACTCTCGCAGTCCGACTTGCCAAGCGCATGTCTTCTCACCGCTTTGACTTCGGTATCAGGCATCGCTTCTCTGAAATGGCGGTGACGATGAAGCTCATGCGCTTTGGACTCCTTCTACGCGCCCCTCAAGTGCAGGAAATTGCGACATGGCTGCAGTCCTACTAAGCTGGATTAAAAGCAGCTATTCTGCTTTAAGTGAACAGACGCTCGACTGAATTTTTAATTTTTGCATCAGCATCGTTATTTTCCTCACTCGTAACCATCGCCCTTTCCTGAACTGCCCTGAAAGTGCACTTCACTGCAGCTAACACGCCTGAAATTTAGAACGCATTTATTTTTCTACTTTATATTTAAAAGTAGGTAATCATGTGCACAACTATTTTTTTCAGAAATTGGAAAGCTTCTTCCTACCAAAGGCTTCCTTTACCTCGGCTCTATTACCTCAGAACAAATGCAAAAACCGATTCTTTGGCGTTCTGCCCTACGAGATGACACGTGTCTCACTCACCCCGATTCGCGGAATTGAGGGCTCCGACTACATTAATGCCAATTATATTGACAGCTACCGCAAACGGCAAGCCTACATCGCCACCCAAGGGCCAATGGCAGAGACGCTGGAGGACTTTTGGAGAATGATCTGGGAGCATAACTCCGCCATAATCGTAATGCTCAATAAACCAATGGAACAAGGCAAGGTAAGAAGATTGTGAATAATGAATATTAGGGAAGGAATCTTCGCGTGATTGGGTTTTCAAAATAGTTATAACTGGTGTGCGCAGTTAAAAAAGTGAAATTCGTTTGGAAATAAATAAAATTCTGAGAATTTGCCCATATCAAACTCAAAAAGTCGAGTTAATAAACATGTGTTTTCGGTAATTATTCGGGCCTACAAAAGTGTTATAAACC